TTTATTCGGGCACGAACAAATCGAATTCTAAGTAACTTGGAATCTGCCTACATACCGCGGGAGAAACCTGACCTATGCAAGCAGCTTGACCATGTGGTCAACCTCCAATTACTCTGGTAGTTGGGCCTTCAGTTGTAATTTCCACGTGATTTTCGTTATCTTCTCTCCCCCCTTTCCTTCCTATATGTTGATTTAACGCAGTGTTCTTGACCTGATTATTATTTACACTGAAATATGACCCTTGCTGTTATGCCATGCCATTCTCTGAAATTTAAAACTGTTGTGTGTTCTATTCGTCATGAAATTCATGCAACGACAGGATCCAGTTGAGAAGTTGTCACGAAATTTATTTAATTTCAGTAAATCTTGCTGTATACACTTGTATTAAACCAATTTCAAACAAATATAGGAGGGTTGTTGACCATCTGATGATGGACCTTATCCTCAGTTCAGCATTTCTGGTCTATGGTTCTTATAGAAGGAAGCTGGAAAAGGCAAAACAGAAGGAATTATAAAAAAGAAAATAGATAAAAACGACCCTTTCCTTGCCAAATTAAAATAACTTGAACCGTGACTTGTTGAAACACGATTCCGATATTTGCTTTGTCCAGAAATGAAAAACAAACGGTGTAGCCATTTTGCAAATCCACATTTACAACTCTGTTCTTCCGACGGGTCTTTTCCTTCCATTGTATCCTCAAAGAATGTCTACTGTTTTAACATCGACAGTTGCAATCTTAGCCAGCTGTCGTTTGTGTTAAAATGATGACCCAATGTCTGCAGTAATGCGGTTTCTATACCCATTAATTGTGAAGCATACGAAATATATTTCCACCGCAAACCTCTACGACAATAAACTAGGGTAACGAACTACCGACGTCAAAGGAAACTGAGATGGTTATTTGAAGCCTATTAGCCTTCGTCTGCCAAGAATACACAAGTCCAGTTCTGGAGTACTAGCGATCCAACCACAGGTGTTTTGATTAATGAGTACTTTTAAGTCCAACGCTTTTTCCTTGAGTTATATGCCTGTTGGGGATAGCTGACCGACGATAAATAATAAGCCAGAAACGGCCATCTAAGTCTCTCTTGTCTTTTTCGACAATCCACTCTGCTGTTCGCTGTGACTACCTGCAAGAAATATAGATAATGTCCCAAGGTGTCCCTCATCGGAATCGA